AGGTATTGATGGCATGCTTTCTATCCTTGTGTTGTGCTCATGTTGCGTATCGTGAGCTTGCCGGCCGCATGTGTGGGGTAGGCTGCCTTGGGGGTCCCTGGAAACTCAAGGGCCGAACGGGAGGTCCGTTACAAGAGGCTCCTCAATACATCATTTCAACGGTAGAATTTTAGGAGACAGTTGACACAAATAAATTTAGCATATGAATCAATGTAATTTCTCCAACAATCTTGATATATAAAGTTTGTCTAGTGATGAAGCCTTTTATTGATGTCAGACCTCATTATGATAAATACAGCTTTGATGATAATACAAGAAATTAACCACAAAAACAAAAGGTAAAAAGAAAAAAATCTATGCGACTGAAACTGCAATGGGACTTTGGACATTGTGGATTCCATCAAACCATGTATACCATCCAAATGCGTACTTGTCTTTCCCCATGCCTTTGTTTACCCTGTTTGCTTTTACTGTGATGGTGAATGTCTTCCTCTGGCCAATATGATTAAAGAATAAAATTGAAGGTGAGATCGTCACGGAGAATCCCGGTGGTGGTTTAACTTTGACAAAATAGACACTCTTACTGCTACCAACATTTGTGACTCTTCGCTCGACAGTAGAGGTGCCATTGAGTTTGGGAATGGCGAGGGACGGATAATTGAGATTAGAAGGAGAGGGTGGCTTTATAGGACACTTGACCGAAGAATCCAAGTTCTTAATCCCAATGCTGCAGAGGAAAAGAAGATAGTCCATGTATGATGCATCATACACGAGTCCAGGATCAGCTGCTTTCGTTGGCCTAAAATGACCCGATCCGAATTGGAAAGGATCTGCCGGCTTACCGAACGCATCAGTTATTGGCTTGCCTAAATTGTTATTCAGTTCCGCTGCAGGCAAAAATATTCAAGATGATTGGAAATAAATGCTACAGACCAGAAAAATGTTGGACATAATGCACAAATGTACCTGAGGTTATCAGAGCAGATCTCATAGCAGCACTACTCCAACTCGGGTGTATGGCCTTCAGAAGTGCAGACGTTGCACCGATATGTGGGCAGGACATAGATGTTCCTGATAGGATATTATATTTGACCACACGATGATCTTGGTCTAGTTTTGTTGGAGATGAGGCTTCACTCCATGCAGCCAATATATTTAGCCCTGGAGCCGTAATATCTGGCTGTCAAGTAAGCCATATATGTTAATTGTGTGCATTTTACTCATTCTAGATCCTATGTTGCAATAGTTAGATATAAATCGGTATCTACGCTTACCTTAAGAATATTGGGTGAAACTGTGCTCG